ACAAATATAAAAAGGAACGAACTCACCAGGGTTATCCGCGTATTTATCGAAGATGAAATTCGCAGATGTGCTCACCAGTTTAGAGCCTGATGGTGTATACGTTCGCGAATTGTATGGAGTATATTAACGCAAGATCTTATACGAACAACTTCTATATTATCTGTTTCTCGTGTACCAAAGGCAAAGCAAAACACCACAATTGGTTGTCCCAATTACGAGATATATTTTGGAACCAAATCGCGGACTGAAGCGCAAGCAAAGCTGGCCAGTTATGGTGCACGAAAGTGACACGACGGAGTACCAAATGGCGGGGATGCTTGACTGAAAGCCTTCAGTTAAACAAGTCGACTTAAACTCTAAGGGTCAGCATCCAATGTTCACTGATATTCCTATGGTCACGATGTAATTCTTCTCTCAGGTATAATCTATTCTTATGGTCAATATTTTTGGGGAAGTATTTATCGCCACATCTGTAATGCACAAATCCAATCCGTCACTATCACTTAGGTTATGTGACGTCTTATCAGCGGTTTGATAAGCATCTCCAAACGTTTCATCATTTATCAAATACTTGCTGACAAGATAAATCAGGTGGGCCAAGCTTTTCTGACAGGATATCTTGTGCACAATATATTACTGAAACTGTTCAAAGCATTTGACATATTCAATCAGTCTATTCCCGACCGATAGTTACTATCGTGATAAGTGATGGGCAAGCTTGCATACCGCAATGTGCCCACAAGCTACTCTGGCTGGAACCTATGTTCCTTGGAGATCCGAACGTGCCAGAGAGGTCGCCTGAATAGTGGTCACAGTGAAGGCAGTGTAACTACTACTCTGATACATGCCCCTTAGCAGGCAATGACTAAACTAATGAATTAAAAATCAATACATTTAAGAGTAAGGCGGTGACAGGAGAAAGAAATAAACTGAGATAGTAATATTGCCAATCACTCAGTTAAATATTTTAAAAATTAACAATACGATTAAGAACACACGATATTAGTGCATCTGAACCAATGAGATTTTGAATCGTAATAACTGCATTTTTTTAACTATCGGTTTTTCCCTGTCCTACAAATCTTGATCAGAATGTTTTCAGTTCTTTGAATACTGCAGGCTAAACACTGCACACTTCATATCTAGTTGTGGTGAGAGCTGTCCGAAAGCCAAAATTCTAGACAACGTCAATGTTCATGTCCTATATCGGGATCATGAGAAAAAACAAGAACAAGGCTGAACCTTGAGGAACTCAACAACCAACTGCAACAGACTTAATGTGCGCAAATAGGATTCACAGATATATGGATTAACTTTCTGAGGAACGGTCACAAGCAATACAGAATAACCTACAGAAAGAAAACAACCAATCAGAAGACGTTGCTTCTCTGATAACAATAACGAATAAATAATGATGTACACAAATATCTATAGATATTTCTTGATTTTCTCAAAAATCGTTCTGTTGCCTGGACCCTGTCTTCTGTCGTTACATAGTAAATTACTTTCTATGACTCAACAACTCAATAATATCACCACCACCTTCATCGAGCGAAGTTAGCTGGTAAAGGAAAGGAGATTTGAGACTGGTCAAATCCAAACATGTGATCGATTCATAAAGTATTTTACTTTTAATTGGATGCAAGCAGAAAGGAATAGATTGACAAGCTAAGGTCTTCTAGACGTAGGGGATCAAAAACTGAAGACTGCTGGTTATACTGCTCAAGATAGCAGTCGCATTCACAGTTTAAGAACTCCTAGAAGAATTAATTTTGTTATTATTCTCCAACTATTTATCCCTGTTTCCATAGATTTCGTTTCATTATAATACCTAAGATGTCCTGCTTTTTCTCTACCTTTGAGGGCTTATAAAATGTAGCGATTGGAACTGGTACTGTTGTAGCACCCCTATATTAAGCCTGAATGTACACTCAAAACGAATTCACGTACGCATGCTATACGCTAACAGAAACTAATTTTACCTATGCTTGTTGAATATTTATCATTTTATTATTGTATATTGCTTCTCGTTTGTCATGCATACATTTTACGCGGTTACGCACTTTTTTCGTTTACCTCGCGCCTTTTAAAATTCGATTTCATTAACAATTCACGTTTTTCAAGTTTCCGTTCGTGCTTCTTAATACAACGAGTTTCATCGTAGACCGTGTACAGAGTTAGCGCATAGTAGAACCTGAAAACGTCGATGTACTGTAACATAGTAATCAGGATCATCTTCAGGGCGCCATTAATTTGAGAACCAGATGTATTGAAACTCCTGCCGGATTATTATTATTCTAACTTTTGTGGATCTAAAGATTTTACATATTTTGAAGCACTTAAGTTGTATCTTCTCAAAGTGGACCCTGAATGCTTTTGTTGCATGTATCATCATTTTGTCTTGCTTATCGACATAGTCATTTAGCGTGCCTGGCCTTTCTTCGTATGGTAAATTAGTCGTGCCGAGTATTGCTTGTGTTGCCTTCCTTCGGACCCTTTCTAGAATACGAAAGTCCCCGTTAAGACAAGGAGTGGCTGCTTGGACGCAGTTCTCCAGTCTTGACCTCACCAGAGATGCATTTAAAGAGGTGAACATATCTCTGGTGATTCTAGTGTAGGCTCTGCGAATTGTCCATAGGGACCTGAAACTACGTGCAGCTACCACGAAACAGTGTGCTGTAACTCTTAAGTTGTGACTTACTATGACGCCTAAATGCAAATCAGTCTGAACTGATGGGAGGGACTGATGCTTGCTTGTTCGATGTGCATGGTTGCACATTTCGCTACACTGATCGGGACCATGCATGGCAAAGTTAAACTTTCGACACCACTAACAACCAATCAGCAAACGACCTTCAACGGACCAATTACATTAAAGACGCATATATGATGAATGGAAATGTATATTTGTAGAAAAAAGCATAAAATAGAGAATAAAAAAGTTACATGGGATATCTTTCTCGAAAATGTAAGAGAAACGTCAACCAGTTTAGCATGGGACTGTCAATGGAGAAGTTACACCATTTCCTGTACATATATTCATCCAAATGACCATAAATGAGATCCTTTTGAGATCCATTTATAGCCTTTATCCTATTTTTCAACCTGCCACAAAATCCTTCAATAGAATTTGTACGTGCCCTCGTAACGAGATCCACAAAATTACTTGAATGGTTGACTCTATGATGAATAGATCCCAGAGATGAAAGCGAATTGTTGCCTTTCCACACGTCGGTGTGTATAATTGACCCCCGCTTAACAAGTCTGGTAATAGTAGGTATAAGAGTAGTTGCTTTTCTATCTGCTATCCTTAGGGAGAGAAGCGACCTAGCAGAAGAGTTCCTACGAAATATTAAAATTATCAGCTTACCCTCTCTAGAGTTAGTAGGCTTCAAACATATAGCACAACGATGAACAAACCCATCAGTTGATTTGGTATAGCTTTTTAAAGTCATGATACCACCACACAAACAAATTCCCTCTTTCCGGAGCAACTCAAATCCAGGAAATACTGGAAAACGCTAACCTCCTCGAATTGCAACAATAGCCTTGTAAGGTCACGCATTAGAAATGAACCAAGCGCTATACAACATTGAACTGCGTTCGTGAACCTCATTGGATAATTCGCTGATTGGTAGTTAGTGGTGTCGAAAGTTTAACTTCGCCCCATGCATTCTATGGACCACTCTGACAATTTGTTGAGGTCCTCTTGTAACGTGAGCGTATCACTGTTACCCTTCAGCCCTCTCCAAATTTTTAAGTCACCTGTGTATGAGACTACAGGCGAGTTGGTAAGCAGAGATAACTCAATGATATACAAAATAAATAAGAGAGATCTGAGTAGCGTGCCTTGTGGCACTCCGCTACGCACTGCTGTTCAGTATGCCCTTTTGAAGTCTGTGAACCATACGAATACACAGACTTGACATCAAGGTTGAAAACTCCGCATCACTTTCCTCCTGCTGAGTCAGTAATGATATAGATCCACACACTGAAATGAGAACTGTGAGTGAGCGTCTTGCTTTTTCAATCCTAGCTGACTCTGTTATCCTCATCTGCCCAGCCTGCTGTTGAAGCACTGCTGTCTGTCTGTCTGGATTCAACATAGAACTTGGCGCCGAAGTGCAGCAGTTCGAGTAGCCACGTTCCAAATAGCACACAGAGGTAGACAAGAAGATGAGTGAAGAGAACCAGTAGAGTTTCACAAGTATAAGAGTGAAATAGAATAGGTAATGGTAGAAAGGAATATGAAAGATTACAGAGACTGAATACATCTGCGCCATTGACAACGATTTTGAGCTATGTCACCTATTGTCTCCAGCCATTGATTCCTAGAGTCCCGAGGGCCCCAACCCGGAAGTCTGCATCTCCCTACCTGACTCAGTTTAACTGTCAAGGATTTCATGGATTGATGCCATGTTTTTGTTTGGCCACCGCTGGCTCTTTTCCAACCTGCACCTATATCAGCTAGCACTGCTAGCTGTCCACGTATGTGGAAGAGAGCGAAGGGCATCAAACTACTTCGAAATTTCTCCTATAGGTCGGAGTGAATAGCCCCAAACCTATTCAATCTTGCCGTTTTCAAAGTTTACTTGAGTTTTGTAACCTATGAAAGATTTAAGAGGTCGTTGGCGATCAGTGATTCACGCCACGTACGTCTTTACTTGGAAATACAGTCAGTGATAAACCAGACCTATTATGTGGGGTCAGTAAACACTACCAGACTTTCGGAACCACGGTAAGTGAGGCGGTGTTCAAATATGTGACTCACTGCAGGTTGACGGCTGACCGTCTAAACCAGTTGGACAGAGTTGACTCCAAGACTTCCTCAGGCTCTGGTTTCCCATTCTTGATATTATATATGCTGTGTCCAACCTATTGCTACCCGTTCAGGTTTGGTGCCTCAGTTTGCTTAATTTCAAAATCCAAAGTTTTACTATATTGAATAAATTTAATGTTTTATTGAAAATTCATTATTACTTTAAAAAATTTTAATCATTGTCGTTTTAATCACAGTTTCCGTCCGAGTTGCATCATTAATTTTTCTGCGCCTTTTACTATGTGCGAGGAAGTAATCGCATCAGTGTACCATATTGCCCCTTTTCAAAAGAAGAAAGAGATATACTGGTGTATAAATATGATGAATTTAGCGCATAATATATCCTCAGATGTCAGTTAATTTATACTGTGGTTAACCATGAGTTCCAGACTGGACGAAAATCATATCGTGGATTTTATTACTAATCACCACCAACTAAGATGTCATCAATTTAATATTCAAATGTTTCCGAAGCATCTAAACTAGGAGGAGACCGGTCAGTAGAAGATCATATCGATCCGGCTCAGTATAAATTATTTTCTTTGAATAATGAATTTTCAACAGCTTTAGAATCTCTCTTAGGTCATGAGGAAGAAGATTCATTCGTCGAAGAGTTATTCTTCACATCGACACCCGTCATATTTGAACAAATGGTGGATTTTTTATTACTTGAGTTTATTAACGGTCTATCCAGTTTCCTTCAAACTACTCGAAGACACGTGGAACTTACATTCCTTCGTCCTCAGTATTTCAAGGGTATATATTTTAACGCGAATGACTTTTTGTTTGTAGTGTCCTACAGAAATCTCAACTGAGTCTAGTTGAAATACCAATATTATCGAATTCTTCATAGGTCGAGATTAAGTGAGACATTATTTACAAGAAAGGAGTTCAGAGAAGACTTACTCTTTCCGGTGATACCGTTCTCACTCCGAACAATCACACAAATATGCATTTCACTGTCATAGCAACACAACAAATGTTTTCAAAGACTGACCATGAAAATCTTAAGTTTTAGCGAATGACAATTACGCAATATAAAAAGCGTTAATTGGTTGGAAACTAAGTTTAAATTATATAGGTGAAGTGAGCGACGTGACACGATTGAGTAGAGGAATCGATTCAAGATCAATGTCATAAGGAGTAAAAGAGTGATAATTAGAAGGAAGGAAGAGTTAACAAGAATCATGTTTCAAGTTCTGAAACAATTTAGGTCTTTTGTAGAGTCAGCGACTGAACAAACTTCCACTACGTGCTCAGTTCATGAATCAATTTGTGGATTCCTATAGTTTCTGCAGTTTGTAGAAGTTTTGGTTCACACACCTTCGACAAGAATTCCGCTCACTTTGCAGATGAATCCGAAGTTGGTTTGCAAGTCGTCTCGATCAGGAGTTCCTGAAAACAGCTACCAGTGGAAATTCCTTACACTTCGTAAAACGATGAGAATAAATATTCTATAGTATTTTCGAATAGCCAATACTGAGTATGACCGACATGACTAGCTCCCACCATATTCATGCATTCTGTATAACACAACATAATTATCATCCAAAAACATAAAATTTTAATGACACAGAAACCGAGAGAATGTTCCCAGAGATATATTGTCATTAAAATTTTATGTTTTTGGATGATAATTATGTTGTGTTATACAGAATGCATGAATATGGTGGGAGCTAGTCATGTCGGTCATACTCAGTATTGGCTATTCGAAAATACTATAGAATATTTATTCTCATCGTTTTACGAAGTGTAAGGAATTTCCACTGGTAGCTGTTTTCAGGAACTCCTGATCGAGACGACTTGCAAACCAACTTCGGATTCATCTGCAAAGTGAGCGGAATTCTTGTCGAAGGTGTGTGAACCAAAACTTCTACAAACTGCAGAAACTATAGGAATCCACAAATTGATTCATGAACTGAGCACGTAGTGGAAGTTTGTTCAGTCGCTGACTCTACAAAAGACCTAAATTGTTTCAGAACTTGAAACATGATTCTTGTTAACTCTTCCTTCCTTCTAATTATCACTCTTTTACTCCTTATGACATTGTTCTTGAATCGATTCCTCTACTCAATCGTGTCACGTCGCTCACTTCACCTATATAATTTAAACTTAGTTTCCAACCAATTAACGCTTTTTATATTGCGTAATTGTCATTCGCTAAAACTTAAGATTTTCATGGTCAGTCTTTGAAAACATTTGTTGTGTTGCTATGACAGTGAAATTCATATTTGTGTGATTGTTCGGAGTGAGAACGGTATCACCGGAAAGAGTAAGTCTTCTCTGAACTCCTTTCTTGTAAATAATGTCTCACTTAATCTCGACCTATGAAGAATTCGATAATATTGGTATTTCAACTAGACTCAGTTGAGATTTCTGTAGGACACTACAAACAAAAAGTCATTCGCGTTAAAATATATACCCTTGAAATACTGAGGACGAAGGAATGTAAGTTCCACGTGTCTTCGAGTAGTTTGAAGGAAACTAGATAGACCACTAATAAACTCAAGTGAAAACGAGTGGAACGCCATTCCAGTGTTCAGATCACTTCGATGATTTGGCTGTCAAACTGGCATTACTATTTGACACGTGGACTTCCATCTACAGGTATCCATGTTATCACGTCGATGTCAAACAGATTGGTCTGGATATGTTTTGGTTTGTGATGGAATCTGTGTTGACTTTTTTTTCATTTTCTGATTACAGCTTGATTTCACACTGTATTTTTGGGACAAGTATGGAATTTTCAGCGTGGATATCGGTAGCCCAAAATCCGCAGGCCGACCATAGATATCGGGTGTGCGTCGGCGTGGGCTCGAACCCCGGACCATATGCATGGTAGGCAAGAGTCCTAACCACTGTGCCACCGACGCACAGTCTATTACTTGTGTAATTTGCACATGACGAATTCGAGTCATCTGGCACTGGAATTATTACACTGACATTGGAAACAATTAAAGATTGTGTAGGATTTCATTTTGAACCTAAGGTAAATGACATCAGGAAGAGTTAAACAGTGACGGAAAGCAACTACAGTTCACTACCTATAAGTGGGCGTCTTAAACTCCTACTACCTGAGGTCAAACAAAAACCAAATTAATAATTGAAACTGATTTTGATGCTCACTGGTAACTGGCTTCAGGGCGAAGTTAACCGGAACTCTGCTTAAAATTCGTGACCGATGGGGTCCACAAGGTCAGGCATGTGAACAAATATCTGCTGATGATTATGGAAAGCAGTGGGGTTATATATTGCTAGCTGGCGGAAAGTAAATTCCACGGGCCAGCCAGCTGATTCCTCCCCACAAGATGAATGGTCGACGGACTGGTTTTGTATCTTGAAGGCGCTGCGTATTTCGACATCCAGTGAGGTCACAGGTGCGTATCTCTGAATGTACCAAAAGAAGAACGCGGATATTGTCATCCGGTACTCCACTGTTGACCTTCAGTAGGTCTTTTACTGAAGTCGATTGGTTATCAAGGCTCAAGCGAATTATTTCCCTCAAAATAACACAAGGAAATAAGTTCCCTGACTGTAGATTTTACGAATTTCCTGGAATAATTTGAGCGCCGAGTCAGACTGAATCATTATAATTTATTTAAAATAATCCTAGTGTCCAGAAAAGTCTAGTTTTGCTTTTCTCCAGAGCACGCTGAGATTATCTGAAATAATTTATAACACTTCAAAATATTAAAAATTTATCTGTGCACAGATTTTAATCTTACTAAGAGATACTGTGACATTTGTTGGAACATTTCGATAATTACTGGAATTGGAAAATAAAAAAAAATTAAAAAGATTATTTTTCCATTTCATGTTGACATGAGATTCGACATCGATTGCTAAACAGTCTGAAAATGGACCAATCAGAATCAAGCTGAGACAACGTTTGTCAGAGTTGTATAGATAGACTACAAGTTGATTTCAGTTATGCAAAATTAGGTCTACTGTCATCGATGATGTTCCTGATTGCGATGAACTAGATCATGCAATAAACTATGGGGTGTCAAGAAGATCTGGACTTGGTTAGTGATTTAGGTCTAATAACATACAGACTCGAAGGTGTACAAGTGAAAGTCAACAAGCTGTCCTAAGAAGCAGGGAAGACATGACCTCAAGTGCATTTTAAGAAGACCAACCAACAACAACAGGCACTAATCACCACTAACGATGGAAACCCTGAGATAGCCAACTCTTTCACCTGACTGAACTAGGCAGCATTGTTTCAACCACAGGAGACGGCATGGATAAGAACGCCAAAGCCAATCAGGATCGGATCGGGAAGGCAAGACAGACTTACATTGCTGTGAAATCAGTTTGGAAATCAGCTGAAATCAGTATGGAGAATAGCATCAATTTAGTCAACTCCTGTACGTCACTCGGAGAATTGGCGCCTGCGTCACCGAAGGCATTTCCAACAAGCCACAGCTCGGTTGCCTTCGATCGATTGTGAAAATTAAGTGGGAGTGAACCGGTCAACACACTTATGCAAATTATTTATATGGGAGAAATTCGAGATGGATTGGATACACGCATTTAGGAGTGACATTCTGAAGCAGTTAGATCATCGTTTGAGTGGTAGGGGAGAATGAGAAGAGGCGGACTAGTGTCGTTTCAAGGGCGATGTGGAGGAGATGGTGTGATGAGGGGGAAGTGCAGACATATAGATGACCGCAGAGCCTACTTTGATAGACCACAGAAGAATGAGTGAAGTGGAGATGTGCCCTGAGTGAAGCCTCGTGTTTCAGTCGGAACAGAGATGATCAATATCGGGGAAAGGTTTCTGCCATCATTGTTATGTATGTGTGTATGTATTCAACTTCCGTTATCATTTTGGAGTGCGTTTTCAATAAAGTAGGAGAATGGGATGTAATCTACTGGCTCCATGCCAATTTGGGCGCAACATCCACCTCAACATTTCCACTCGAATGACTTGGGTGTGATGTTACTGAACAGTCTTATCAGCGTGTGTCCTATCGACCTCAGATTCCCTTCTTGTGTTTGCTGGTAAGGCGATGGGTTGCGGTTGATTTGTTGTCAAAGTTCCTCGTTGACAATCTCTTCTTGTAACCTGATAGTCAATGATAATTAACATCTCCAGCCATCTGTCGGAAGTGATTTCAGTGATGCGCCTGAACCATACAGGAGACGTGAATTGATACTGGTGTTGAAAATCTGAATCATTGCTTGTGATGCTTTGTGCAGTAGACTTTCAAACTGAGTAATGAAAGTCTGTCTTATCTTTCCGACGCAATCACGGGTAACTTTGACACCCTCATCTGTGACGCCACCATTATTACAAATAGTGGACAGTGCGAATGTTCTATTCTTGTATCGATGATTGATACTAATTGTTATTTTTGTTGGTTAGTTGGATATTTTGCATCACATCAATCTGCTGTATGTTCACTTGAACTACTATCTCTGCTGACTGTGTCTTCTGACAACTTTTCGCTTTCGCCTTTATATGTCCGAGTTTGTTTGATACTAAACGTAAATCATCTGGGAAGCACACAACCTCCAGTATCTTCTCCTCGGTCCACAGTTGGCCGATTTTCCCGCCTCCTGAGGTCTGTTAGCTGACTAGGTCCAGCACAATCAGGGAATACTGATCTGTGGATTGTCGTCCATAAGTGATTGAAGACACAGGACTAAATTGTGATTATGAAGAGGAGAAGGACATCAGTAGAATTAACCAGACATTTTTAATTTTAAATATTTTGGTGGTTTCCTGTCGGTTAGTTATCAAGTGTAGGTTTGAGAGTTCGTCAGCCAGGATTCAGACCTGAATCTCCCATGTGAGCGGCGACTGGTGAGCATTCTACTACTGAACCACTGATTCGTGTGCTAATGCTTCAAATAACTTTTATTTTACTGTAAACTTTTAGAAAATGTTTGCTCTGCAGTTAACAACCAAGTATTGGAAACTGTATAACACTCACTGGTAGTTGCTCCATGTGTTGCGAGTTCTTTGGAGGCTTCAAACAACAGATCATTTGATCTTTGAATATCTGAAAAGATGTAGATTAAACAAAAATGTAAGTGAAGGATATAGCAGAGTTGATGAATGTGAATTCGGAGTTTTAATTCATTTTGCAGTCGATGTTGTTATTTAGTGTTGAGGATCATTCCCAAATATTATTTGAGATTAGTTGTCATCTGAATGGTCTGGTTTCAATCTTCAAATTTTTGAGGGTAAGAATAGAGCCGACTACTTTAGCTACTAGTGCAATGTCTGGTTTTCAGTCAAGTTGCCTATTGCTTTCCAAAGTCGAACCCACAAATTGACAGCATTATTATACCGGTGATCATAACGAAGCAGGAAAATACCGGACAGTGAACTTACAGTATTTACATTCGAGTATGATAGAATGCAGTCTTTACCGAACAAGCTACTGGATGTGTGATGTTAGTTACTGACCAGTGTTCAATCAAAGTATTCGACACCTTCGCACAAGAGGTCGATGGCGAGCTTGAATAGCCCAGTTGTTATGTCTATGACTGAAACTCCGGGTGAAACGGGTTTCAATCTCACAAAACGCCTGAGCTCTTCCAAGATTTGAGATGTGGTATGATGATGAACGCCATCAAGCACGAAACCTTGGACAGGTAGAACTTCTCGCCTTGCCGATTGCCAACAACTATCTAATAAAATCAGCTTAGAGTGCACCATGATGGTGAGCCACCTGTCATAGTGGTCACATTTCAAACTTAACCGACAGAGGTCAGTCTGCACCAAACATGAGATTAAGCGCTTGATACTGCTCACTGAGAAGTGTACAAACCAAGTATTCAAGTCTGAGTTAACTAAGTAACAATTACAACCGTAAGTCTCACACAGCAATTAGGTAATACAGCAAGCATCATTCAGGCAGAAATTGAATTAATCTAAATAAGTAAGTTGAGTGAGGTAATCTAACTAAACTAAGGTTGAAAGAGTTGTCAGGTTGTGATCAGACAACTGCACCTGTAGAGCCAAGTATACTGACCGCACTTGGCGGTTTCTATGCAAAGTACCATCGAATACTTGTTCTCGTGGTTTCCCGAAAGATGCAAATGGATCGGCTCGAAGTACTATCCTGGAACATCTGATCGTGCAAACGCGCAAATCAGTTTCATGGTTTTATCCAATAAGTATGCGAAAGTATTGCCAAATGATTGTGGGTGGAACTCCTTCAAACCGCACAAGCTACAGCAATCTGTGTGCTTAATCCTGAACTCCACATACCGGAGAAGTAGTTTGTTCAGTCAGTGGACATATAATAGACACAATGTTTCGTAACATCTGATGCGTAGTCTTTGTTGATCCTAGTTATCTGTCATGAGACGTGAGCCATGAGTACGCAGTGCTTCAGAGTCGATCCCAAAGAAGCAGGACGGAAAAGCTACCCAGCAATGTTGTTATTCATTCCTATGAAAACTGAGGCGTCATTAACTTTGTTGATGGCATTGAAATGATTCTGATTCGGTTGGATCTCACAGCTTAGAATGTGGCATAGTGGACTAGTAATTCAGAAGTTTCCGCATAGAATTCTACAGTGATCCAGATTTCCATTTCACAGTCCTCACTCATCACACACTCAATCACTCACTCACTAACTGACTGTTAAATAAGCCAATTCTGGATGGAGAAACCTTCGACACCCTGTCTAGAATGTAGATAAACCAGTGGTGATAAGATCGGAACTGGGCATGTGGAGGCAGTGGCACAGACAGCGTGATAGCTTAATTCATACACTGAGTGGAAGTAAGAACATGTTTACGGACTAGAATCAAGGTCTGTCTGTCTGTCTGTCTGTTTTCGACATAGAACTTTGCACAAATGTGCGGAAGTTCAAGTCGCCACATTCCGTGTAGCACGCGAAGCAAGAGAAGAGAGTACAAGAAAAGCATAATAGAAACAGTGAGCAAAGGTGTGAGACAAAGGAGTAATAAAGAAATACAAAACAGTTTCATTGAAGATCATAAGTCACAAGGAGTGGATGCATCTGCGCCACTGAGAACGGTTTTGAGCCATGTCACCAATTGTTTCCAACCATAGATTTTTACCGTCCCGAGGACCCCAGTCTGGAAGTCTACACCTTTCTACATGGCTTAGACCAACTGTTGTGGATTTCATTGACTGATGCCAAGTTTTTGTTTGACCGCCGCTAGCTTTTTTCCAGTCTGACCCTATATCCGCTAACATAGCTCGTCGAGGGAGGCGATGGCTTGGCATACGTAACACATGTCCTAACCATCTCAGTCTTTGTAGCTTCACGACTTCGTCGATTGATTTCCCCTGTTTACCTAGAACTCTGCGCCTAACCTCCATGTTGCTCACCTTATTATGCCACTTTACACGGGAAATAGAACGCGGGCACCTATGATGAAAGACAGCTAGTCTTTTCATGTCTTCCACTCTCAGTGGCCAGGTCTCACAGCCATAAAGGAGGACGGAGCGGACTGATGAGCAGTACATACGCCCTTTGGTCGGTAGTCGAACATCTCGTCTACGCCAGAGTCGGCGTAAACTAACAAATGCGAATCGAACCTTCCGTATTCATGCTGAGATTTCGTCAGAGATCAACCTGTTGGCGGGCTGATGGTACTTCCCAGATAAGTGAAGCGGTCAGCGTGCTCTACCACTTCCCTTCCTATTTTTAAACTAGGCGTCGATGTAGTCCAGTCCTGTAACATCATCTTGCATTTGGCGGGAGAGAATCTCATGCCAAACATTCGTAGATTGCTGCTCAAGGTGTTTAGAAGACTCTGCATTTCGTCAGCGTCTTCGCCTAGAAGGGCTATATCGTCTGCATATTCCAAGTCAACGAGATTATTCCCCGGTAGCAAGTCAATTCCTGAGTCACTGAAGTCACCTAAGGTTAAGTCCATTAACACATCTATGATGAAGTTGAATAGAAAAGGAGATAATGGGCATCCTTGACGGACACCACTGGTCGTCATCAGTTCAGATGACAGCTCGCCGTAAGCCCTCACCTGGCTGTATGAGTACGAATAGAGTGCCTTAATCAGTGCAATATATTTTCTTGGAATTCCCTTTACAGCCAAGCATCTCCAGAGAACTTCCCGATCGCCAGAGTCGAATGCTGCCTTTAGGTCAAGAAATATAATGACTGTTGGACGCCGGTAGGAATGACTATGTTCTAGAATCTGTCGGAGGGTGAAGATATGATCAATACACCCTCTTCCTGGTCTAAAGCCTGCCTGGCTCTCTCGTGTTTGTGCTTCCCGAGCACCACTCAGTCTACGCATGATTATTGAGCCTTAGACTTTAGATACTATATTAGTCAAGCTAATCCCTCTGTGATTATCACAGGAAGACTTGTCTCCCTTCTTGTATATGGGGATAATCAGTGACTTACACCAACCCGATGGGACTTCTTCTGATTCCCAGACGCTGCCTAGTACCTCAGTTAATGGAGAGAGTAAACTATCTCCACCGTACTTAAATACCTCTGGAGTCATTCCATCAGGTCCCGCTGCTTTGCCTAGTTTCAGATTGGTGACAGCTTTAGTAACCTCAGTTAGTGACGGAGGACCTGTGTTTATATCCCATTCAGGGAGGTGTTGGATGCTCGGAAGGTTGAGCGTGGCTGTGGGCAAATTAAACTGCTCCTCATAATGCTCTTTCCAACGATCCAGTCGTCTATCCTGGGAGCTAATTATAGTGCCATTTTTTTCCGAGATTGTCTCACTGATGATTTGTCTTCTCCCACCCGTTTCCCTGATGAGTCCAAAGAGTTGCCTGGTGTTGCCTATCCTCGAAGCTTTCTCCATCTCTTTGGCTTTTGTTGCCCACCACTGTTCACGGTCCTTGCGGAGACTTTTCGTAAGTTTCCTCTTGTGCAGCTTTCGCTCCTCATTGAATTCGGAGCTCGCCGGAATAAGTCTTCTAGCATCTATCAGTTCGGATGAGGCGGTGGAGATCCAGTGGTTTTTACTCAGGTAATTACACAACACGTCAGTAAAAGCAAACTACTGTGAGTGTAGTGTATAGTATTGACTCAGTGTGAAGCATTCATCAAGAGCAATCAGAGTGATTCAGATAATCATGGAAACACACACGTAATAACAGCAAATAAAATAAATATCTTCCCTCTCTCTCGCTCTCGTTCAACAAACCTTGTTCATATTGAGTCGGTAGAGAATGTCTGCACTGACTGCTTCGATATGTGGTCTGGAAATCTAGTAAGAGAGTAAAATAATAGAAAGTGCTGAAAACACCATGTTGAAATGAAAGTAAAGTTGTATCTGTGTCATTATTCATGAGTGCGGATAAACGACATGGCGAGACACGCATGAGAACGCATGAATTTATGCAGCAAGCGCAACCATATATATTCTAGCTGTGTATTATTAATTGATAGACCGCATGTAAAACACCTAAATGTGATATTTGACAACATGAATGCAGCATATTCAAATCAACTGGAAAAGTAAAGGGAGATGTTCAGTCAACAGCTTGTTTTCAATGAATTCATTCCACTCAGCTGAACAGTTGCACTTATGTACAATTTTCTTCTTTTCTTTCAAGGGAGTTTCAGTTGGTAAGCTAAAAAATGAGTTGTCATAATCAGAAGTGTCAATAATAATTGATGCGTAAGATGAGTAGAACAAAGTTTTTTCTGGTTAGTAAATAAGATGAGCAATATGCCTGCTGATACGGAGTCAGGTACATTGGTCATTCAGGGCGTATCCTGTCTCAAAGAGTTCAAGAACACTCACTAACCTTCATGGAATCAGCAAAGTAGCAGTAGCAACCTGTTGTTGATAACACCCTTTAGTATTCTTTGCATTGTTGAAGCTCTAGGCACTCAAGTAGGGAAATTAGCAGCTCTGCTTATGAAAACGAATTATCCTAGCACTTCCCTCATCATGGTAGTGATGCAGTTATTATCAACCAACTTGATTAATTTTGCCTGTTCTTTACCACATCTGAGTCTTCTATTTCTCTCGAACTCTTAGGTCATATCACATCTTTTTCTCGTCGCTACCTGCATCCTGATCACAAGTCATTCATTCAATTCCTAGTCGTGATACGTGGCTGAAATACTCTTTTCCAACTCCTCGTGTGCATTGATCGATAGTATTCGCAACTGTAATTATGACAACTCATCATTTTGATTTGCTCTCCAGGTTTATGATAAGAAAATACGATTGGACTGATGATGAAGTAAATAAGATTGTCAAAGAGATCTACTTCTCTGAACTACTGCTGTATGACAGGTATTCACAAAGTGATCTCTAGTTATGTAGCCATTTTCAGGGAAGAATGAATCTTTTGCCTCCGTGTCAATCAGCCTTGTGTATCTTCTTACTCAGTGGACATATTTGAGGTGATGAGTAGATCGTAAGACATGAAATTATTAACTAACAGGCCTTTTTGTTTCTCCAGTTACAAATATATTCTCATCGTTTTTTTCTATGGACTTTTAATTTTGACCTCACATTTATATTTTCACTGACATTATTATTACGGCAAGTGTTTCTGTTATTTATTTTCCCCCTACAGTGTAGTGTGATGTAAAAACAAACTTGGATGCGACATCGTATTACATGCTGAAATTCCACATTGTATGAAAAGTCCTGCTTGGAGTAAATCTCTCACTATTATTATTAGTACTTTCGATTTTTAAATACCTTGTGGTGTTGTCATTGGTTGAGCTGTTGTTGTATCTGGATTGACAATAGCGTTAGGCTGAATATTTGGACTACCTATCGAATCAAGAATGAAAAGATGGTTGTTAATGTGAACCAAGCGTAGAATAGCAGCACAACGTAGATCAAAATATATTTTGAAAATCATGGAGTACTGGACAGCTGTTTCGTCCTGTGATTCCACTACGGGTCAGACACAGGACCTTCAGGTTACATGGCGCGCTTGCTGGTCATGCAGTCAGTCAAAAGGAAGCCAATGGAGCGTAAATCCTAACTTGTGTCAATTTTCGAAATATAGTGCAATAACACCAGCCAGTGTGATCGACGAGTCATTGTCCTCACAATCAACTTGGACCATACTGGTTGCGGCGTTCTATTAGACTTCGAGTCAGCTTCATCTTGTTTTGTCATCGCTGTCTGCTTCAAAGTGCAAATTTAATTCAAGCGATTTGCATTATGGTCCAATGAACAAAGATGATGTATCTATAATTTTCCTAGATGAATGACTTGACAAAATAACATATAAGGTGATAAGAAACTCTTGGGAAAGTTTGGTCGTCATCAAGAAATTCAATTCGACGCTGTAAACCATCGAAGGCATTTAGTTAGCAAAAGGTTGGATGAATAGGTGAAAGTGCATACCGAGCGTAGCTTCTGTTAGAATGAGGGTGCGTTGAAACTTCTCAATTAAAATTTCTCAATTAGGTGTTGCACATTGATTAAATCTAGCACATTCCAGACGATAAAATTCATATGATTAGGAATCCATGAATGGAATCGAAGGACAGCTGTTGATAGTATGAAGACTGAGACGAAGGAACAGCAAATTGACGGGAATGGTAAGAATTCGTCAGGAAGCAGTCGATGACATACTTCTGGCTACTAAGGACCATCAAATAACATCGTGTCAATATACAGGCATCACGGAAGCATTCGTAATAAATATTTATACCCACAATGAAGAATATATATATATATATATATATATATATATATATACACTTTTTGGATTACCTGAACCCTGTTGGCTTGAAATTACAGTGAAGACACATGAACGACGAGTTGGAGTTTCTGGTGAAATGAAAATAAAAGGAAAGAAGAGAAATTGAAAAAAACCAATTGAAACTTCACAATATTAGGAGAAATACACAAGATGTACATTTATTAACAGCTCATACAATAAATTTAACCAGTGAATTTGAAAAAGAAAACTATACTCTGAAGCCAGTGAAGTATTCATGAGGACTCAGCACAAATAACCGAATCCTGATTTCCATCACTTGTGTCAAGTCAGTGAATAGTTCTGGGTGGTTCATAGTCTTCGCACGTCACAGAAAGCATTTCCAACAAGTTGGATACTTCCGTCAACGGGTACTTTCGTTCGACATTGGAGATCGGTTGGTCAGTTAGGAATAATAATTGACTATCAACTACTGTGACGAATTCACCAAGAGAATGTTGGCTGAAAAACATGTGGAGGTAAATGGAGATGGATGAATGAATGGATTGAATACTGCTCAGGAGACTGTTAAGCAGTATCATCTAATCTGCACGACATCGAATGGAAGCGAAATGGGGACGCCGAAGTGCCTTGACTAATTATTTATCAATCCAACTGTTCCTGTAGTGGCAGTATTATCTGCACTCGCTCCTGGAACTTGATTTTACGTTACACAGAACCCTGAGAAGTTTGCATAGACAAGGGTCTGATTAAAAGTGTCAACATTTCGATAGTAGATTACCTGGTCCATGCAGGTCACAAAGCCAGCACACTGAAGAATACTTTTCTGTCGTCTATCAAGTATCGAACAGATGATCAAAAGCCACTAATTACTGAATACCCAGTGCAATTCACCTTAAATTGCAGGAGTTCTGTGTAGGAAAGTAGCAGGTTCAGACAGTTTCGCTATCCTTAGCTGCAATGGAATCTGAGATTAAGTAATATGCAGCTAAAAATAACTTCAGCGAACAGGGTGAAGTGAAAATTTGCTGCTAACGCCTTATTAGTGATGAATAATAATTTAGCATAGATCGATCTTTTTACTGGGAGACCGCATATCAACAAATACCTGATATTTCTATCCACATTCATACAAAAAAATATTTATATATATATATATATATATATACTGTTTGTACTACCTGGTCTTTGGCTTGAAATTACACTGTAGACACATGAGCGATTGCGTCGAGCTCCTGTTCAATCGGAAATACAAGGAATGAAGAGAAATGGAAATAAACACATTGAAATTAACGTCATTAGGAATGCTACTCACATTGAACACATAAAATTAAATTATAATAGTATATATATATTCCTGTCCATACAGGAAGATAGACATTGTACAGGCATGACATATATATTAGGTTTATGCTGAGTTTACATCAGTGTTGTTCTTGTCGACTTTAGTCAGTGAGAACAATCTGCCAACTTGTCAGTCAATGTATAACACGAGGAAATAAAGAGATACTGTCTTCTCATTAACAAAAAGAGAAAACTGTGCTGGATGGATCAGAAGTACTAGGGAAAAAATTGAGCTTGAAGTTAATTCTCCTTTATGGCTTTCCTGTAAACGTTATCAAATCTCACTCTTGATTTGCAGTCACGTAGTATGGTGACGTAACAACAGTTTATACAATTAATTTAAATAGTGAATTTGAATACAAACAACCATACTCTTAAGTCGATGAAGAAATCTAAAGTCTCAGCACAAATAACCGAATCCTGATTTCCATCACTTGTGTCAAGTCAGTGAATAGTTCTGGGTGGTTCATAGTCTTCGCACGTCACAGAAAGCATTTCCAACAAGTTGGATACTTCCGTCAACGGGTACTTTCGTTCGACATTGGAGATCAGTTGGTCAGTTAGGAATAATAATTGACTATCAACTACTGTGACGAATTCACCAAGAGAATGTTGGCTGAAAAACATGTGGAGGTAAATGGAGATGGATGAATGAATGGATTGAATACTGCTCAGGAGACTGTTAAGCAGTATCGCCTAATCTGCAAGACATCGATTAGAATCGAAATGCGTGACAACGAGTTGATCTTCAGGTCTAAAATGACATGTAGGTGATCATGTTAGCTGGAGAACATCGAGGCTCGTTGTCAATCTTGGAGCTGCCAAAAATAAACTCAGCGAACAGGGTGAAGTGAAAATCTGCTGCTAACGCCTTTTTAGTGATTAATAATAATTAAACATAGATCGAATTCATACTGAAAGGCGGCGTATCAACAAATACCTGATATTTCTATCCACAGTCATACATTTTAATATTATATATATATATATATATTGTATTACCAGGTCTCCTTCGGCTTGAAATGACAGTGGAATCACCTGAGTGATTACGTCGAGTTCCCGTTCAATCGAAAATACAAAGAATGAAGAGAAATGGAAATAATCACATTGAGAATTAACGTCATTAGGAATACTATTCACATTGCACACATAAAATTAAATTATAATAGTATATATATATTCCTGTCTATACGGGAAGACATCAATTTTGTTACTATATGTGCTAATTATATATTTTTTTATTATATTATTACTTATTTTTGTTCCTAGTGGAACTTCTAACGTTTCCACTTGATTCCATATCTGCTCACATGCTTTCATCTCCTCTTCACAGGACCACCTCTATCTAACACCACCCTTACACTGACTACCAACTCGTCGCTTCCTGTTCGGGTTCCACTCCAACGATGGCCTGCCATGTGATGTGGATTGACGGTTTCCTTAGAGTATAGCCAGTCCCTCTCCATTTCTTCCTGCATATTTGTTGCACAATCGGTGCATGGGAGGTTGGTTCGCTTCCAGAGATCCCTCACTATTGCTGAACTATTCTGGCAGGCCATCTGACCTTGAGCAGTATTGAGCGAAGACAGCTGTTCATGAAAGTCTGTAGTTTGTTCTAAATGCCCTTCGTGATACCACGCCAAGTCTCCGATCCGTCTGTTAAGTAGCACTGACATATAATTGGATTTGAAGATCCGGATCTTATTTTTCATACTGAGTACTGTTCACCTTCACTCAGACTTGAGAGAAATGAAACATTCCCTTGCTTTACTGATCCTAACTTTGATATCCTCTTCATTTTCGCTCGCAGTTGAAACGATGCTCACCAGGTCGGTAGATAGTTAAAGGAGATTCCTTCTTCCGGATTTCTCCAATTTATGCTAATTGTTGTCCATTATTGTTGCTGTTGGCCAGACATCTTCATCACCTGCGTCTGTTTTATCTATGTTCACCTGAAGTCCTGTCCTCTCTGGATGCTTCCTCTGTCAACTTAATGCTGTTCATTTGCATATCTTCCAGTTTGTGAGAAATAGGACATATAACATCAGCGAACTCCAGATCCTTCAGTTGCTTTCTGTGGATCCAATTTATGCCTGTTTTCTGCTACCCACTGTCTATCACATAATCTGGTATACCGCTTTGCTGTGTACGTCATCAAATCTCATTCTTGATTTACAGTCACGTAGTGTGATAATTTAGATTGAGTGGTATATTCGCATCGCTTCCTCAACAGTGTCATCGTAGGGTACCATCATCAGTGAAGTTTACTTCATCCGCACCAATATCAGGCATAGGCATGTGGATTTGTTTCACTGCGTCAAATAGACGACAGTTTCCTCTAACATTGACCGTACGTATCAACAACTCACACAATTAATTTAACTACTGAATTTGAATAAGAACAACTATACTCTGAATTCAGTGAATTATTCATGAGGACTCAGAACAAATAACCGAATCCTGATTTCCATCACTTGTGTCAAGTCAGTGAATAGTTCTGGGTGGTTCATAGTCTTCGCACGACACAGAAAGCATTTCGAACAAGTTGGAGCGGATTCTGACAGGTCGGCTATCCTTAGCGGCAATGAAATCTGTCAACTGATTACTACTGCATTACTCCATATCTTGTGCACACATTTTCTCCACTTACTGTTCCAATATTACCGTTCGTCGTCCTATGCACTCTATTATCATTCTGAATAACCAACCATCGGATGTGAACGTTAATCATGAGCATTCATCCTCACTGCATACACATACATTCACTTTTATGTACTGTGAATTACTTTTGGAATTCTGATGAGATTCCTTTACAGTGCCATTTGTAAACCCAATATTGGTGATCGTTTTGATATGACATTAATGGCATTTGGGAAGAGAAGCATCAGGGCTTGAGTCTATGAAGGGCTGATGGAATGAATCTACTAGTCGGACATCACTCACACATCAAGCAGAAGGACATAGTGACCAATATCAACAAGAGAGCGTTCTGCTTGTTTATGATGAATGTCATTATTGCCGTGTATTTGGTAAATGATTCAAATGAGACAATTTGATCAGTCCAAATCAATCAAATTTCAAAGTAAACTGGGATGAAATTTCATCTCGGTATAGAAGGAGGTTGAACTACCATTTTAGAATATTTTCCATTGAGTTAGTTGCAGAAATGGGGATCTCTTAAACACGGGTTGTTTAATCCACACTACTGGTCTCAAGTAACACAGTGATACCGTTCAAAAATCATGCATTTGGTGATGTGAGTAAAGAAACACCTCAGTATGAGTGGAAATGTTAGCACCTTTGACGTTGCAGATATGCCACTGAATGTTTACAACTTCAACTCCCAGAATATAATTTAGGTGTGAGAAGACACGACACGTCTTCCTGTTTCATATCGATGCATGCAGACATCTAATATAGACATTAGTTTGACTAATAGAATGAACACATTTTAAACAATGGAAGCACCAAACAAATGCTAGTGAAGTCCTCGACGTCTGGTTTGTACTAAGACAGATCAACTATCCAAGGAGACACATCACTGTCGATCAAATTTATCAACTCATAAAGAACAAGTTCACATGACGGAGAAGTCAACTTTCTAGTCAATGAAGAGGATGAACACTAGTGCAAATAACCGAAAACTCAGAACAAAGGTTGCCAGGTGATACAATCATATCATTCATGGGGAAGGAAATCAGACAATTTCACACTTCAAATCGCAGTTTGATGTGAAGTTGTTGTGTGGATGGTGGTCAATGAAAACTGCTTCTTAATTGAATCATCACACAGCCTCTCAGGAGGCAAAAGCTCACCGAAACTTTCGTATCGTGACAGTGTGAATCTCACATGTGATGGCTGTCGAAAACGAGACAAGAGTTTAGAAAGCGAAAATTGTGAGTGAAAACGATAGTTGTGGAAATACGCCTTGTGTCTCCAGATGGTTGTGTAACAACACTCCTCATGCATGTTTCAATACGCTTTACGTCATCTGATCATTTGTAAAAACAATGATAACAATACATATCAAACTATAAGTTGGGATTAATGACACGAATTAACTGCAGCAGTCGTTAATTCTCTCCTTCATCACAGGTGTGATTATGTACACAGTGGCTAGCTGTCTTTGACCACAGATCTTCACGTGTTAAACGTTACAACTTGGTGAGTATTACTGATACATTTAGCCCGAAATGATTTCATCCATGTCACTATCCGACACACATCCAACCAATTGTCTGATGTCCGGGTCCCACTCAAGCAATGACCTCCACGCGATGTCATTTAGTGGTGTCCTCAGAGTATGTTGAATCCACTTCTTCCATCATATTTGCCACGCGAACGTTGTTGGTTCGTTCCTTCTCGTTAGTATTTTCAGGTCGACCATTTTGTCTTGAGTGTGGAGCGTGGGCATCTGTTGAAGACAGTCTGCAGTGGCCTGTTGGAAATGCTTCTGGTGACTCATCTGTCAAGTCTCTGAACTAAATAGCAACACAAAATTGACGTTGGATTTGAATTTCGGAATTCTGTTGTTCGTTTGAATCTGATTTCAGGGTAATGAGGATATGCCTTGCTTTTCTAATCCTCGCCTACTGGCTGTGACATACTCTTCCGTGCGAATTAAAGTTGTAACAACACTACCAGTCTAGGTAATTGAAAGAGCCGATCTTTTGCTAGTTTCCTGTCGGTGACAGTGTTTCTCGCTGGTCACGTTGCTTCATAGTCGGATTCATCTCTACACTAATAAGAAGTTCTATCTTCGGTGTTATTTTGGGCGAAAACACAATGTTATTTTCAAGCACCAATGAGTGCCTCAATTAGTATGTGGGTATAAAAAGAATGTCATGAAGGTGAAGTTCATTCATTGTTCAATTATTCAGTGTTTTAAAATTTCATATGGGCATATTTATTAGACTTTCTATTTTCCCCTTTCGATTGATTTTCCATATCGCATTGAAGTTCTGTGTCTCTGTTGACATGTCAGAGTCTCCTGTGACTTGTAATTCAATGATATCTGACGATTGACATGATGGAAATTCACTGATGAATTATGAATTTTGAATATATGTGTACATATATGCATATTTATTTCTGCAGTCAAGCCAAGTAAACAGTCTGCCAGAATTCTGGTGCTGTAAACTAATTCATCTCTCTTTGAACTAGGTCAAACCATGTACACCTTAGGGATTAGCTGGGACCAAAAGGATTGAATACACCTGTCAAGTGTTTAGATCACTTCTGTTTGATGCGCTGCTTAGCATATCAGTCTGTCAGTGGCATACATCGTCATGCACTTAAGCGTAAGACACGATACAGTTAAATCATTCATGTAAGAGGAGTTCTGATAAGTTCAGCCATTCTATCGTAGTCTGAACTGGAGCCATATTGCCTGAAATGACAACGAAAGCATCGTAATTAGATTAGCATTGAGTTCAGAGGACACAACAACACACAGCGCGATGTTCTCGTCAAATATAAAAAAGTGAAATAATTAACAATATTATTTGAAATACCTTGTTGTTCTGTAGATGGTTGTGTAACAGCACTACTCACGTTCCTTTCAGTATTCCTTATTTCATCTGTTCATGCAAGAGAAAACAGTAGTAACAGTAAATATCAAAAGATAACAGTGTTTGAATAACATGAAATATAGTCGGATGTTTGTGAGTGGGAAGGGGACACTGAAAGTGGAGGATATGAAAAGACTAACTGTCTCTCACCAAAGATGTTCACACTGTGTCTACCATGTTAAGTGGTAGTATATGATGGGTCTTATGGAGATGTTTAGGTGTACAATCTTAGAGATAAGGCGAGTAAGTGAATGAATGAAGTTGTGAATGACCTAGATTGATCCAGATGGTAAAAAAACGTGTGACGAATGTTAACCCATGGCCTTCCTCGATGAGAAATGTTAGCCAACATAGGACTAAGCAGGAAGAGAATTAGAGTTGATCGGAACGGAACACAGCTTAAAGTACGATTGACGGTTTGTGTAGAACAGTTTCATTGTGAGGTGTGGACTTCTATCAAGACGTCAAGAACATGAAACTGCTATCTGTTATATTCTCTTGTTTTTCCACATCACTATTCTTTCTCAATTCAAGTTTCTGCTCACTGTAGTTCTTTTGAGTTTCCTTTACGCATTGCTCTTTCTCTCTCTTCCTCGTCGTGTGATACATGGAAATTATGGCGACGTGAACTGTGACTGGACTTCTGCATAGCATAGTAGTTCTCTCAATTCCAAATCATCCACCTGAGTTACAAATCTTTTCTATTATAGTAGTTCTCTGTTGAAACGCAGTGAGTCAGTCAGACAGTCAGTTGGACAGTCAGACATAATCTAAGATGTACACTGGAATATTACTGTGATTATAAAGCAGCACTGTCTGTCTTCGTTTGTGGGAACTTTTATCTACACATTAAGAGCTTTATTCCAATCCAGTAGAGATAGCGTCTAGTGAGAACACCGTTCAATAGAACATAGGACATCTGTACTGACAGTATAATTGAATATCAGATAAGGTGGCTGAAGGATTTATTTTATTTATGATTGGATTAGTTAATGTATCGGTAATTTAAGGAAGTAGAAGTTGAACAGTCTGAAAGGAGGCTCTATATATTAGTCTGACATTTAGAGTATATGACATACAGGAAACTGTTTTAAGTGAAGACTGCATAATTGCATAGGAAGAACTCATCATGCGGCTAAGCTTGCATCCCTCAACACCAATCAAACGGGTGGTGCAACGATCTGAGAAGGCCTGTATACATTGGTATGGGTGTGTTTGTTCAAGTAAATAAATACATACAGAAAGGTGACTGTGTCTAGTTCGCATAGTGAAGCATTCGTCCAAGCGATTGAAAAGAAGCTGAATGAAGTCAGGACGCCAAGAATTTTGATGATAAAGCATCTTTTAGAATATGGACATGATACTGATATTCTGTGAAGTCATCCACTCATGTGAACAGATAAATAAACAGATACGTGCTTCGTTTTTGTAAAATTAGCGTCAATAAATCATGTGTCTATGTACAGTGGGAAATACGGATGTCTTTCGATCCAGCACGACAACATCTTCCACGTATTCCATCTGTTATTACAATTATTTCCATATCAAAGAGAACTATCTTTTATCAGTACCTCCTTCTTGGCTCGTTTTATTAATTGGTTGATAGAGCTAGGATAATCTGCTCAAACCACTCTCTCAGTGAGCAGCTTAACATCACCAGCGAATCACTTTTTAAAAATGTTTATCCAGATAAATTCATTGAAACAAAACATGAATTCAGCACCCAGAAGTGTGAGTGTGGCGTCAGCTCGAAGAAAGCCCTTGTTCATAAAACTGCAGTTACTAGGTGATACCAGTGGAGTAGTAAAGTAACACAGAGCTTGAAGAGTGCAGTGGAAAAAGCATTCAGTGCATCGTATGTACGTTGTCTCTTCAATACGACTCCGGCTCTTTGTTTGACAAATAAGAATAATATATCCTATCCAATTTCTCCGTCTCCTCTATGTGTATTCATCGGATTAAGTGCTGTTGCTGCCGATGCAGCTGCTGCATAAAATGAGAAAGGTTGACAGTCGTATTTCCGGTATCATCCTGCATGGTTGGGCAAAGGACAAACAAGATACATTCGTAGTTCTATTTTAGAACACCTTGAAGATAGTGGGCATAAAGTTGATGCTAATAAAGCATTGAAAGTTATTCAAACAAATGTCACTTCTGCTCGAAGAGTTTCTCTTTCGCATACAGCTGAATCCTCTGAGGTCCACCTAAACACGCCAAACCTGTGTGTCCAGAAGACATTCGTGCAGCCACTCTTCTTTCCATGGATATCATTACATGAATGTAAGGCTCTGAGAATTCAGCCTGCCTCCCTCTAAGCTGTTTACAAGTTGTCATTGTGGAAATTATCTTATTTTCCGATTCCTTCATCTTTGATTGCTTATCACGTGAACAAATTCAACACCCTCTTATTGCTAAATCACTCTGTATTTCCTCCTAAGTTATGCATTATGCAATCAATTGGTGCAAACATTTCTACCCTGTAATTGACAGTATCGATTTTATTGGCGTGGTGATATCGACTGATTATAGGTAACAAATTTATCGCCACAAGATTGGTAAATTCATTTTGTATTGTATGTACTTAAAGTGTTTTATATATATGAGTAGAGCCAGAGATGAGGATCTAACTGGGAAGTAAATATTTCTTCGCCTAATCCTTTTGTCTTATCATTATTATGATTATCAGTAGTATTATTATTTTTGTCCAGTTTGAGATTTCTGACATTCAGAAGACAAGTAGTTCAGCGAAGAGTCTCTTTTCGGCGAATTCATTTTCATAGCTGTACAATCGCAAATATATATGGTCATTTTGTGTGTGTGTGTGTGTATACATTAAATTTGTCAAACGAAAATACAATTAGTAAGTTCAGATGAATTGGATGTTGATAAGAGGATAGCAACAAAAGTGATGAGTTGTCATAAATGATTGTTAAATAAGAGTTACGTAATGGCATGAATAGTTTGATGAATGAGTTGTGCTCAAAGGGTGTACATGGAAACAAATAATATACAGAATTACACAAGGGTTTTAAGTTAGAAAAATAAGCATACAAACAGAAGTAAGGTCAAATCAAACAAACAAAGAAAAGTTAGGTCAAATCAACAGAGCTGTTACCATGCGAGTAGAAGTGGTTGGATAATTTTCTTTTGTATGCATAGTTCTGGTTCCACCAACTGGATGGCTAGGGCTTCTGCGATACAAAGAAGACGGAATCGTACTGTCTTTGGAAGGTTGTTCTTCACTTTGTAGATTACTTTGAAGGAGGCGTTCGTTGAGATGGAATGACCAGTGTTGATGAGATGTTCGATTATTGCACTCCTTTTATGGCCATTATTTCCTTTCTGTAGCCACTTTGGATAGTGTTCTTTGACCCTTTTTGGCAGAATGTGCGTTGAACGACCGATGTACCTGGCTCCACAGCAACAGGTGAACTGATATATACACATAGAAGTAGTCATGTGCGGAATCTTGTCCTTTGGGTTTCTGCAGATCATTATTTATTATTTACAGTGATTACAGTGATATGACTGAACTGTAATCCATTATGGTCTTGAATTTTATCTGTAATATCCTCCCTTGCGCTTATCTATCTGAACTCCACCTGTAAACCATTCACACCTGTCGTGTTTCGCAGTTGACTAATTCATCATTGTAGCTCGTTTACTCATCAGTCACATGCATCTTCCAGTGTATTTCTAGTAGGTTGTAAACATATCACTGTATGCATAGTATTCAACTGAGGAGAAGTTCTAACGAAATTCGAGGCATTCAAGAAATCATCCTTCATCAACATTTAGAAGACAAAAATATCATTCAGAAAGAGACTTCTTCCACGAATTTGTTATTAAGGATGTTTTCTAAAGTCCTGGTTAAAAATTGTGACCATTGGTGTAGACCACGTTTTCTGGTGTGAGAATGAATATTCTCCATTGACAAATACTGACAGTTGCGCTTAAAATCGTAAATCGTAAAAGTTAAAATTCATAGACTGGTAATTGGATTCCATCCCACTAGTTGAAGGACTACGATGTTGGTCTTGTGACGGGGAGATTACGGCTTCGATTTCCGGTGGTGGCGTCATAGTTGAGTACTGCTGAGGAGCCTCAAACAAGGGATGAGTGAAGGAAACGGCCACTCAATACTCCCTGTGTCACATCGGAACAATTCTTATAGGGGAAAAATTGTTTCGCATACTTGACGATTAGTAAGGCTGTGTGGAATGTTAGGGTATAATTGTTTACTGCCTTACCATTGGTGTTTCTATATTCTCTACCCTTCTCAGTGAGAACTGAATACATGTTTAGTTGAGTTTATAATTGAAGTATATAAGATAACAGATGGTCAACTTACTTTCATGTTGACGTAGTAAATCTTTATACTGGTTAACATTTGTGGTGTATTTTCTATGTAGTATTCCTAACAAATAATCAGGAAGGATTTTGATTGTTAAAGTGTAAAAGGTCATTTGAAAATGTTACAGTCAAGACATTGCTAGTGTTATTATTGTTATCAGTAATTCATTTCTAGTGTTTTCGGTGGAACATTGAGCCTCAGCAGGACATATACCCATTTCACTCATTTCAGTGCAGTCCATTTTTAACAGTCCATTTTTTAACGATTTCTCATTAGCTTTCATTTCCTCCATCTCACACAATATTCCCATGCCAGCCTCGAAGCCATGGCCAACTCGTCGCTCCTTATTCGAGTACCACTGAACAGCCTGAATGGTGCATGATGTCACTCAAAGGACGTGAGTTTTTCGCAGTCATTTTCAGTTGAATCTTCGATTTCTCGTGTGCAGGTTTCCATATCATCCTCTTCATCGCACGATCGTCTCTATGCCATCCTCGGAATCGCACCTTACTTTTTATTCCTTATCCAGGTTCCACGTGATTGCCTGCATGGTGTATAATAGCACTTGTATGCCCCCTCATCTGTCCTTTGTTGTTCTTTCTTTTGAAAACAACATCATTTGCTATTGGAGTTGAACTATCGGGATGTTTTATGCTTCATTTGATGCATCGTAGTTATTTTGTTATAGTTGAACGTTGTCTACTGCATATGGTTTAGTCATGCACCCGTTAGAGTTGAACATTGTCCATTCGTATCCCTTTATTCCGTGTCTGGCATCCGCGTGCTGTTTAAAGAACACTTAAATCGCCTTTGACACAGCTCTGTTATTTTTAATTATTGACGCACATTGACTGTGCTCTGTGACTCTATTCAGCCACATACATACACACCTCACATGTGAGGTGTGTATATTGTGTCCCATATACCTTATGTTTAATATAATACTGTAGATAAGACCAATCTTGTGTGTTCGGGTTTTACGCGTGACTCAACGTGTGGTATGAATAATCGGCAGATTATCGTCCCGAATTACTTTTGGAAGACATTCACAATGCATATGTCCAGTCCACCCACATAGGGTTGAATTTTCACGGCACAATAATGCTAAATTGTGAAGAAAAGCAAGATTAAATTCAGCTATCTGATAACTTACCATATTTGCTTGTCATACTTTCGATAGCTTCTATAACGCCTGAAATGTTTGAAAGAGTGAAAGGGAACGCTTTAGCATAAGTAGTAACGATGGTTTTTTCTAGCAAGAATACGAATAGGAATTTCTGAACGAGATCAAGTACAAATTAATATATCCAGTAGAATGAAGTAAACACGTTATCATGTATCTATTTGGATGCCAGTAATAAATGAATCAGCAGTACTTGTCAGTTCACCAGATCACTGGATGGCTATTTCGATCATCTGAAACCAAGCATGTCAGAGCAGTCCACATGGTTTTGTTCAACTCAGAGAGCCATATTAGTCCATACTAGTTGATCTCAGACTGGTATGCTACTTGGGCGAGCTGGTAATACATTTCATCCGGTTCGCAGTTTCAAATGTACAGAGTGTGACGAGGTGAATTTTCCCGCTACAGTTTCTTTTGGAAAATGAAGTAACTCAGGCGAGGACTTCACAACATGTCATCTACTTCACTTCATAGCGATCGAGAAATCGTCCATAACTGCATGATACTGTATACTACGGATTGGTTGCTCGATCGACTGATGTGATATGTTCACTACCACTCAAGCATCAATCAGCTAAGGAATTAGAAACAAATTAACTCTCTTCTCACCCTGCAAGTATGTATAATTATATGCATATGATCCCTTGTTCTCTAACTCTCGGGATTCGAAAGCCGTTAGTACTTCGTGACTACAATAGGCGAAGAAACATTACAGCCATCAAAAGACGTTGTGCAAACAGTCATTTACCACAAGTCATGAATGTGGTGTGAGTCTTGCGTCAAGAGCTTCCTCTTGATCGGATTTATCTACTCTTAACATCTGGTGATAATGGAAACAGTAATATCGGGGTTAAAAGTATGAGAGAAAAGTTCTATTAGGCCATGGAATCAGACTTTAGTCTAAGATTAGAGTAGGAATGAGGAAGAAGGTGAATGAAGCAAAGGCTTAAAATGCAGACTAAATTTAGGAGTTAAATTGTTATCTCGGTTTTTGAAGCGAGCGTTCAGGGTTATTTTGAAGTTGAGGGTTATGAACAAGGGTTATACTGGAGATAAGATTAGTGGTTATGGTTTAGATTAGAGTTAGAAATTAGAGTAAACAGTTGCGTTAGTGTGAGGAGTAGGGGTAAGAGGTGAAGCAGAATCGTCTGACACTGAAAAGAAGTGCGACTATTTTAATACACGGTTCGTCAACAAAACCTCAGCTGTTTCGTAATCCTTTAATTGGATTGTTTGCTCAAGATTATCCGGTGTCTGTCATAGTTCAATTTAACCAGACATTCATCATCTCTGGAAACGCGCGTATGTAAAGCATATGCAGTTATAGATAATGAGATGCAAACACGGAGGAACTAATAGGGGATGAGTCAGCAACTGACATGAATGAGATTTAGAAAACTGACTAGGAAGTCACCTTTCCTACAATGGCCTGTTTTTATTGGAAAAAAATCGAAATTAAACAAACTCACGTCTATATTTCGCTGGCTGATTGATTTTCGTATAATGTTGAATTTCACATCGAACATCTAAAATTTCAGGTGATTACTCTCTAATAGTATACAATAACTCCCATTGTAAGTAACACGTAAGTCAGGAGTGGTTAACCGACGAGACTCCTTTCCCAATGAATTTATTATCAATGAGTATAATCCTATGTAGACTTATATATTGTTAAAGTACCTGTATAGATTTGAATACTCAGTATTAGTCTCTTGAGTTTAGAATAAATTAAGGAGCATCATCTGGAGCACATCAATACCTAATTCCCTTTTCCTCAGTTATTTTCAGTCAACTCCACGACTGCTGACAAGGTTTCAATTCCTCATCAACAAATAACATACTGAATGTCAACCTCGAATCCACGCCCTACTCGTGTCCCACTTCCCGTTCGAGCTCCATTCAAGCAATGGCCACACTGGTGATATCATTTATTTTATTATTATTGAGTGTAGTGTGAGTAACGATGAAATATCAGTGATTTCAATGAAGCAATAAAACAGAGAGTGTAAGACACCAAATACTTCATCCTGGGAGAGGAATATGGAATTAGTATGATAAGTAGGCAAATGTGAATACTACGTAACAGGATGTGTGAATTTCAGTAGGATAGAGTTTAACATTTCGAAGAATACAATGGATTATTAACTAATCTAGGAGAGTGAGTGAAATGAAACGCAGAAACTGTTCAAAGTGATCATAGCCAGGAAGTAATGACGCCACCCTAACTTTGTATTTCATAGCTAAGGTGGAAATAACGAATATATGTACTCCTCCCAGTACATCTATCAGTTCACCTGGTTTTGTGAAACAAAACTCACCACCACCAGCAAAATTATGAGTTCTGCACATGAATACGAGGAAGATTCCAGCCTGATTTTATAGGTGTGGACAGAAGGGTATGAGCGGGACACCTGATCGACTCCTCTCACCCAACCAACCCCGAGTGACATTGATTTCAATATGATCTATCAAATTAATGCTAAATTGCCGCCATTTCCTTGGCTGCAAACTTCTAATGACAGTGGAGTCCTTGACCCCTGATGAATTTCCAGCCATGGTTCCGTATGTGAAAGAAGTTTGTTCAGTGCATGTTTCAATCTTTTACTTGGAAGGATGACCTCTGTAGCTTTTCCTTATTCTTACAACTGTTATCACTTTTGTATTTTCAGCTTCCAAGCATTGTTCTACTTGTCACCCGTTATAACTTCAAGTCAACGTATATTTTTATAGAAGTGTTGTAGTTCATCGTGGAAAACTCCTCAACCTGTTGCGTTATCTTTTCATTTGCCTAATAATCTCATTAATCGCTTTCAAAGATTTATGCATTCTGAGAACTAATACACACACTACTACTACCACTACTATATTACTTGTTCTATCACTTGATACTAACCTGTGACTGATAATCACAAAATGGTTATCGCATTTCACATTATTATTTGTTAATATTTTCATTCATACTTTTCTGCATTGCACCACATAATACTGATCAATTGAAATGAGCAGTTGCATACCCTAAACATCGATCTGTAGTGCTTGCTGGCCATATTGAAGTGATGTGGCCAGAATCATCGGCGATGCATCTGCTTTGAATAGCATTCATGATATTGAGCAGATCGCATATTTCTTATGATCCTATCAATTTCTATTTCTTAAGGAAATCGTGGTGAAATTTCAGCTGAGACTGAGTAAATCTCTGATTTCAGCAATGTGTGGTGTTTAAACTTCTTGATGCAGCCTGCATAGTTTCCCGAGAATATCGTTTATACATGTGACTGTTCGGTTTGACAGTGAGTTCCCCGCTGAAAAGAGTCCCTTCACTGAATCACATTTACTCTTAAATGTTATTTTGAGTTTTTGATTTTTGTTAACTTACACGTTTGAAGCCGCATGTCTCGATCACCTGATTGTAGACTGATTTGCCCTGAAATATCGAGAAGAATAAGAAGCGGAATTAAAAACGCCTTGCCATACATATACTTCTTTTGATTACAGTATAAAAAATGTACAAGAAAGACCAAAGTTTGATCAGAATTCATCATTATTTCATTCAACACAGGTTCCCCTCAGCTGCCACCACCTGAAGTCACAGTGGTTAAAATACTTCACTAGGGTTAAATAATGGTGATCCACGGGGACAAAGGCAACAATGCTTTTGGAACATACACAAAAAGTAATTCAGATAAGCCGGCTAAATAAAACTGTAATCATCAAAATGGTTGTCAGTAAGCTGCAAAGATATTGAAGAGGATGCTTAGTTAATTGTGAGTTAAGTTAAAGGAAGATCTGGGTTTGGTTCAGGTTGAGGTCTGCTTGAATCGTTGGCCAATCCGAAATTTTCGACAAGCACAATGCATCAAACTCTACTAATATCCTCATCGTTTCAACCATGCAGTTACTATGTTGGGTGGCAAAGTGTACTGACATACATTTTTAATCA